AGAGGGCTCAGTCTTCAAGACTACCCCATTCAGACACTAGTCATCAGTGCAGACCTCCAGAATCTCCAACCAACCTGGCTTCAGGTTGGGGTTCCCATGAACTCTCGTTGTGTTCAATTATTTTGCTGGAGTGGATCACAGAACTCAGATAAACATATTTACTGGTTTATTATAAAGGATATTACAAAGGATATAGACATAGAAATTCACAGGGCAAGTTGTATGGGAAGGGACACAGAGCTTCCATGACCTCTCCAGGAACTTTTATGTGTTCTTTTCAGAAGCTCTCCTGATGCAGTCTTTTTGTGTTTTTATAAGGGCTTTACTATGTAGACATGAGTAATTAAGCCATCAGTCATTGGCCATTAAGTTAACATTTAGCCACTCTCTCTTCCCTGAAAGCCAGGGGTGAGTTTGAAAGTTCTAATCCTCTAGTCATGCCTTGGTCTTTCTGGTGACCAGTCCCAGCCTGAGGCTACCTAACGGCTACCAGTCATCAGTCCCTCAGTAGCATACACAAAAATCACTTCAAGATTCCGAGGGTTTTAGGAGTTGCATGCCAGGAAATGGGGACAGAGACCAAATATATGTACAGTTTCAATATCACACTCCTGGAGAAAATCACTCATCAAGTAACCACACAAATATAGATTTGCAATTATGACACACACTATGAAGAAGAGATTCCTGGTATTTACCATGCATATGTGAGACGGATTGGGTTTGAGAGGACAAGTAGGCTAGATTGATATCCCCTGAGCAAGCGATATTTAAGCTCATATCTGACGAAAGAGTAAAAGTTAAATAGGAAAATGCAAGGACCCTCCACAATAAAGAATTATCAATCTCAACATGTCAATGATGCTGAGGTTGAGAAACCTTTACGTCTAGGTAGCGGTAAGATGGTGAACTTTAAAATCCATTATAAGGGTGTTTAGAAACCATGTTTTTCCCTAGGAATGATGGAGTAGCATTGACATACGAGGAGGAGGGGTAGAAACAGTGGTGGCAGTGACTTGTTGGATTTTCATATTGAAATAATTCATTTTGGTTGTAGCACGGAGAACTAATTAGGAAGAAACAGGCCCACGGGATGCAAGAGGACCAGTGAGCAGGTTATTTTGTAGTGGAAACAAGGCAGGATAATGGTAGAATCAATCAGGGTGGCAATAGAATGTATGTAAGCCCAGTATATACATGAGGCCTAAATGTATGCTTAACAGTGAACACATGTTAAGCATAATGCTATTTATTATTTTATAGTCATCATTTGTCAGAAGATGGACTTCATTTATTTGAAGTTACTTGGGCACAATAAGCTTGTTATATATATTGCAATATACTTTGAAAATCATCAGGCCAATTATATGGAGCATTATTGAATTGAAAGTCTAGAAGAACATTATTTTTATTTTTTTCTCTAAAAATCTGCATGAACTTGAATAAATCACTTAA